TGATAATTTCTTTTTTAAATTGTTTTGACAGTTATAATAATTAATAATGCATAAAATTGTGAGGAATAATGGATTAAAAACACGAAAAATGAACGATTTTTTTCCTATTTTAATTTTGATTTCATGAAATTTTCATGATTATATTAATGCCATTACTTCTAGCGAATGCTTTGCTTCTAGGATACTCGATAAAATTAATTGTAAACATCAACAATTGCTCGGCATTTCTATGTCACTTGCTTGATGAATAATGCATAAATGGCCATAATTTTCTGTAAATCAAGGTCGAATTTTCATATAAGCTATGTAACCTACACTTAAGGCCTGACAAAGGGCCTCATTTTTTACCATGCTTCGTTATTTGATGAGGAAAAGGGCCTGTTATATTTTACAGCTAACGGTCACAATTCTGTGCAGCCTTGCTGTCATTATGTAGTAATTTATAGAATACAGGGTGACTCAAAAGTCAGTTAACCGTGTCAATCACTTCAACAAACTATGAAAGGAATTTAATTAGTTGAAGCATTGTAATTCGTGTATTCAACAAGAAAGATCCTAGTTTAAATCATTATAATTAACCTCAGAATGACGGCCATTCTAGTCTGTGGTCGTTATTCACAGGTTCGACTATATTTACGCTTCTATGTGATAAACTGTATAAAAGTGAACCTAAATTAGTAACAGAAAGATAAATTATTTAACAAAAAAAAGCAACTTATTTCAGGCAAAATATATATTATTTATATTATCAAAAATAATTTATAAATAATTCTAGAAATATTTTTTCAAATAGATTTTTATTCTCGAAATTAATATTTATGATCTACAGGTATTTATTATAATGTAAGACATTCAATCATCTTCCTATCATTTATCTCAACAACAAAATGGTAAAGGGAATCGATTTGTAGCATTTAATCTTGTTATCGATTGATTGCAGATAATATAAGTTGCTACATTGCTAAAATATAATATAACAAAAAGGAATTATTCACTAAGATTTATCTTATTTGATAAGTCTTTGTATAAATATAATCAATGCAATAATATTGAATATTTTCTTGGTCTTTATTTGTTTACGAATTATTTATCTGAATGATTCCGTGGATCGTATCAAAAATTCTTCTTTATTTTTTTATTCTTCTTATAATAATTTTAAAATTTATGACATTCTTTTTATTCTTCTCCCATCAGTGGAGTAATGGAATAAGGCAATGTGGACGATCTTCGAAAGGGGAGAGATTTTTGTGCGAAACTTGCCCCTATTTAGGTGTTAGACACGTGAAGAAAAGCCGGAAAATTCATACACAACCCTTTGTTTTTTTACTTTTATCTCCTCTTTGAGTGGAGTGATGGGCCATTGCAATGCAACACACGAATGATCTGCTAAAAAGGAAGGACTTTCTATAGGAAACTGGCCCCTATTTAGAAGAAATACCGGAAAATTCATGTGCAGTTAATTGTCGTGCGCAATAACAACTAAAACTATCAATGGTCGTAGATTTTATCCACTTAGCCACTGCTGGGCCCTTCTCCCCTGAAAATAATTTCGAATAAAAGTAAGAAAAAATTATTTTAACCTGTTTTTCTTTAAGTTAACTTGTTTATTTAACCCTTTAAATAACTCTCAAGAATATAAAAGGGATAATTAATTAACTTGTATGAAGCAGGGACGGATTTAGCGTTAAATCCGTCCTTATAAAAGACTTTTTCTTCTACCAAATAATAAATTTGAAAGCGTGAGGCCTTAGGTTACGTATAAATCTGGACCTAGTAGGTTGTGTAAAAGATTAATCAATCTTACTAAAATGCAATTTAATTCAAATCCTGTTTTTTTGTAGTTTATTGCTTAGTTTAATGTTAAACAAAACTTTAATACCATTGTTTAGAGTATTTAATAATAAATTAAAGAATATAACAAATAAAATAACATAACTAAACGGTATAATTAAATAGTTAAAAATACATAAGCTTAAATAAATAATTTTATACTTAATTTAATTAATAAAATTTTAAACATGAGTTAAATTAACTATTTAAGATTATAATCCTGAATTTATTCAGAATTAATTAAACATTTTCTTCTTAAAATTAAAAATATTAAAAGCAGTAATTATTATTATTATAGTCGATCTTCCATACAAGGCTGTATTAATGCCTAGGCATAACCGAAGAATTCGACTTCTTGCAGGTCTTACTGCTCGTTACTAATATTTTTGTTCTATATCTGTATTTATATAATGCCCCAAAGTCTCAAAAGTGCATAAAACGACCATTGGCGCGTTATGGCTTTATGAGGTCAGGCTAATATGAATTAGTGTGCCCAGTGTTGACTTCAGACATTTCTTTTTTGAGAGATTTTCAGGAAGGCAAATATTTTCTTATAAAAGATTGGTTTCAGACCCTTTGTTGGTGGGGTCCATGTTTTTGCTGTTTTGACAGTTATAATAATTAATAATGCATAAAATTGTGAGGAATAATGGATTAAAAACACGAAAAATGAACGATTTTTTTCCTATTTTAATTTTGATTTCATGAAATTTTCATGATTATATTAATGCCATTACTTCTAGCGAATGCTTTGCTTCTAGGATACTCGATAAAATTAATTGTAAACATCAACAATTGCTCGGCATTTCTATGTCACTTGCTTGATGAATAATGCGTAAATGGCCATAATTTTCTGTAAATCAAGGTCGAATTTTCATATAAGCTATGTAACCTACACTTAAGGCCTGACAAAGG